GATGGCCACGCCGCAATTCCTTCTCCTCCATTCTCCTCTCGGGATCTTGGGCACGCACGCACACGCGACCGGCGTGAGTTTAAGCCACCAGTCTGGGACTTGAACTGCAGTCAGCTACATGGGAGTTCAGCGACATAGCCATTACACTAACTGCTGGTCCTATTTTTCTTCTTTTAAATAAGTGTTTCCTGCGTCTCATCCATATTTTCTTTTCTTTGTATATATTGCACTATGTTTTATTATTAAAAAGAGTTTTATGTCTCAGGCAAAAAGTTCTCCTTCACTTAGGAGGTGTTAATGTGTATTATTTTCTAAAAGGATAAGTGGTTGTCTGTGTGGCCATCCTCAAAGGGGACAGAATTGACAGGTTTGTAGGATCTGAGTCTGAAATGGCAGCAAATTATTTCAACTATAAATTTTCCAGTTGAAAAAAAAAATTTTTTTTCCAGTTTCATGTAACAACATGCCTGTTGTTGAAAAGATTCTTTGAACAATACTCCAGAGTCTCACAAAAAATTGCCAGAATGGCATGTGATCCTCAGTGACTGTCATCATAAGAGAACCGACATCATATTTCATAAATATTCCAGAGACTCCATGGTTGCCTGCAGTATGGTTAATAATATGTTCCCATTCTATCATAGAAAACTTATGGATGTCTGCTGAAATTTTTTATGTATGCAGTTTTGTTGGCACAACTGTAATAAAATATTGCAACATCTGGTTGTGATCTACAGCAATTTTTTTCAGTTCCATCTAAAGGATTAATAATTCCTGGAAAAAGCTCCCCATAAGACAAGTGATCTATTCTGTGAAAAAAGTTAAGAGTCATGGTTGACGAGTGCTGCCAGGTGTGCATGACCACAATGATGTGAAATTGCCTTGCCCACAGTTACGTGAAAATTCCCTGCTACTTTATTGACATATAGATGACCATGAATTCTGCATGCATCTGGAGGCTGTAACGAACCATCTGCTCTTGGTGGAAGTGCAGTTGTACCTTTAAAAGCACTTCTAAATATCACTTCTTGAAACAAGTGCTCTTCTTGCAGCCTACTCTGAATCACCTGAAGCATCCTCTGCCACTCTTTTTGCTGTGGTGAAAGATCAAATATTGCTGGTTCATAAACTAGACCATCTGCAGATGCAGCCATTGTTTCTGCTAAGTCTGATACATCTGCTCTCACATACTGATCTGCTCCAACATATTGACGCTTCATGGCAACAGTAATACCTATATTTATTCTCAATTTGCTAGAGAAATCTTTGTCTACTTCATATTCATACTTCAACCATGTATTTTTTTTTTTTTTTGGAGAGGTTTTTGCTATAGGGTGAGTGCACTTGCCAGAAAGACAGAAAATAGACAGACAGAAAGTGAGAAATCACCCCCCAGGCGGTCGGCCACGCCACAATCTCTTCTCCTCCATTCTCCTCTTAGGATCTTGGGCACACACACACAAGTGCCCGGTGGGAGTTTAAGCCACCGGGTCTGGGACTTGAACCATGGTCGACTACATGGGAGCCCAGCGACATAGCCATGACACCACTGCTGGTCCCCCATGTATCTTGATATACTGAGAATTCCATTATGGTTAATAAAGGCACAGTAGTAAATGCTATTAAAGAAACCATACCCCCACTGGCTGAAATCTCTATATAGCTTTCTGGATCCTTTGGAAAAGCATCCAATTCTTTCACCAAACTTAAAAGTTTTTTTCCGATTCAGTCGCTTCACCTTCAGGAAAACCTCCCTCTTCCTTCATATGGTTATACTTGTGCTACGGTCCCAGCCGACCGCCGTGTTTCACGGAAGCTGGGGTCGCCTGGGCACCCGTGTACCCGGAAACATCGTCAATGATGTAAATCACCTCTGAGAGAAGAGAAATAAATTCACCAGTTGTAAAGGTTTAAGTTTTTTTCCATTTTAGCTGTTTTGTAATTTATTTGATGGTATGTTTCATACTTAAAATGAGGGAAATTGACGAAATTGAAATGTTAATCCAAGCACTGATAAATGTTTTTATATTCTTAGAGCAATAACGAAAACAGCTGTGAGTTCAGAACTTAGGACTGAAGTGGAAGAGAATCAGAAGGTAGTAAACTGTGGAAAGAATATACCTTTCTGTTTTGTTTTATATTGTATCTTTAAAGGGGAAATTGAGTTTACCTGTGGCATTTACCTGTGTTACTTTTTCTATTGGTTTTACCAGGTGGTTTGGAAAACAATACCCTTTATTTTTCAATTTCAAACCTTATATTTTAGCTTCCTAGTATAATGATAAGGTTTAACTTTTTTCACTGGTTCCTCTTCAGTGTTTCACCACTACTCCATATTTGTACTTATCCCATCTCTCTTCTCAATATTTAAAAATTGATTTTATCTAGTTTTTTTTTCTTCTTGAGAGTTTTTTTTTTTTTTTTTTTTTTTTGTTATAGGTCTCATACACTTGCCAGAGAGGCAGAGAGAAACAGAAAGGCAGAAATCGAGAAATCATCCCTTAGGGAAGATAGTCATACCTCAGTCCTCTCTCCTCTATTCTCCTCTGGGGATTTTGGGCTACATGTATGCACACCCACCTGGCATGAGTTTCAAGCCGCTGAGTCTGGGACTTGTACTGTGGTCAACCATGTAGGAGTTCAATACTTTAACCATCACGGCATCTGCTGGCCCCGATTTTATCTGGTTTTGATATGCTCTCATATGGACTGGTTGGTTGCTCTTTATGCCTAGTGTATACTAGTTATCCCAAGGCTTTCCTGTAACCTCCCCTGTTTCCTGGGTTCTGTATTTTTTTTTGTTTTTGGTTTATTTCCTTATTTTTAGTACAGCACATCATTCTTTGCAAGAAAAGTTTCAGTGGAGGTCAATTTGAAATTTTTGAGTAGTATTTTTCAATTACGATTTTAATTGATAGTTTGGCTGGGTATCTGTTGGGTTGTTGGGAAAGCCGTGATGCATCTTTGCATAGATTGGTAGTCATTTAAAAATTCAAAGGCATCACTCCTTAGAATTTTGATTTCCATATGGCTGTTGAGAAGTCTGAAGCCATTCTATGAGATCTGTTTATATATTATATGTAATGGAGACAGGAAGAAACATGTTTTTAAAATATTTTAAATACAGATGTTTATTTAGTCCTATCTAACTTATGTGTCTTTTCTGAAAAGCAACTCTTAGCACTTGGCTCATCTCCCCACCTCTCGGACATTGTAGGACACGGTTCCATTAACTGTTAATGGGATGAGATTGGGAAGGAAGAAAAGAGCAGAGGCGAATGTTCTGTAGGCCAGCAGTTTCATTCAGTGTAGTAATTCTAAGAATGGTCATTGGAAGTACATGGGAGGAAATCTTAATGCAGTCTTAGGACATCAAGACTTGTACAAATAACAAAGCCCAGAAACACTGAAATTTTGTTAAGTATTTTTTCTTTGCTCCCTAATATTTTTTTCCTGAATTTTTCAGTATTTCAAGGGAACTTTAGGATTACAGCCTGGAGATTCAGCTCTTTTTATCAATGGACTTCATATTGATTTAGATACACAGGATATATTCAGGTATGGATGATATTTTTCATTCTCTGAAAGATTTTTATAACATATTTCTCCTTGTGACATGCTCAGAGCACTGGTGGTTGTAGGTAGGCCCCTGCTATGACCCATGAATAGTGTAGTATGTCACCATCTTGTTTCTCGGTGTGCATTCAGGCCTAAGCATTTTTTCAAGGATGCCTTTTGCAAGCATAGTTTTCCTGTTAACCACAGAAACATGAAAAATAGCAGGTTCTTTGGCTTTTGGTGATAGTGTGAAGTAGGCTTATTCAAAATGCTTTTTTGGGTGTCTCAGAAGATAATCTATTTACATATAAAATAATCGTTCCATAACTATCTTTTGGTTGTTAAAATGTGGCTCAGGATTAAATTGCTCTAAATTGTCTTGGTGATTTTAGAGGGGTGGGTGGGCAGTCAGGTAGACTTCAGGTTTTGTCCTTGGAATTAAAATGAACACAGTTGACATTTTGGCTTCATAACAGTAAAAATAAAAGCAGTCGCTAATGCTTCAGAAGAAGCACTTTCCAGAATAATGTATTTTTCACATTAATTATTTTAATTAAACTTCTGTGTTCATACATTGTGTTAATAGAGCTGGTTGTAAGTTTGTGAAATGAGGTGGAGACTTTAAAAGATCCCCATGCTTTTAATGAGTATTTTATTTTTAAAAAAATTATATCTTTAATTTTTTAGAGAATTGCAAACTGATTACTCGTGCATATATAATTTTAAATTATACAGAGATAAAGGAACGGACAAAAAGCTTTTGTCCCATTTTCATATTTTCTCCTCCATCTTTCTACTTCCCCATCAATAGTTTTCTAGACTTTTGTCAAAGTGTTCATAGTTGTATGTGCCTGTGTTAATTGATATGATAATGAAACATGCATTAAACATATATAATGTAGTCTCTCTTTTATGGTATTTTCAGATATTTTAAAATGTTATTTTCAGGTAATTATGGAGAGTTATAATAAATAATACAGAGATGTTAATGTACTGCTTTTTAAAACACAGCATATTGTATTGGCTCAGGGTTATTTTGTACTCGTGCTGTGTGTTCATACTTAGAGATAACATGTACGTACATTGACAAACATAAGGAAACGTGAACCCAGGTACAGGCTATATATGCTTTGTCCCGATCACTTTGACTGGATAAAAAAGAGGAAGAGCTTCCTTTTATAACTTGCCAATTTATTTAATTTGTAACTTAATGTTTAGAGTTTCAAAGAGTTTGAACTAATAAATTTTTTTCAAGGTGAGAATTTTTCTAAAGCTTATTTCTACTATTAATTTTATTTTTCCCCAGTCTGTTTGATGTGCTACGGAATGAAGCTCGGGTAATGGAGGGTCTGCATAGACTGGGAATAGAAGGCCTATCTTTGCATAACGTTTTGAAGCTAAACATCCAGCCCTCTGAGACCGACTATGCAGTAGACATCAGGAGTCCTGCTATTTCAGTGAGTATTCCTTTAGGGTGATCAAGGGCATTCTGGCCAGGTATTTTTGTTACGGCTTTCTAAAATCTGTCTTTTATGAGAGTTAAGTGATTCCTACCATCTCTTTCGTGGGTGTAAAAGATTTACAACTACTTATGTAGGCCTATGTATTTATAATAAAGTGGGCCCTTCAGTGCCCCAAATGATGAATTTTTGTGGCTACTGTGGTTAAGACAGTCACTTTTCCACTTCACTACAGCCCTAGGCTTCATCGTAGCACGTCTTGGGAAAGAGCGCGTAGTTTGTATTTTCCCCTTTGTGTACAGGTCTTGCATGATTTTGTGATGACGTGTGATTTAGGACTGCTATTAAAAACAGGACTTTTTAGTTCATAACCTTCAGTAGGTCTTTGATATTTGAGATTGCTACCTGCTGTGTGATTTCTCTGAGCCTTTGTCATCTGTCAAAGAGAATTTGGAGAGTAGTGTGATCTTGGGTGGCGATGTCCTGCATGAGATTTGGGGAGAGCTGATGTGCTCAGCACATCTTAGGCATGCCAGTCTTTTTTTCTTAATTTCTGTACTGTAGGTATTTTTGAGAAATTTTTTTCACAAGAGAAATAATATAGGTGATAATATAGGTGATAAATACTTGAGTTCTTAATTGATGATATGACCTTTTTTTTTTTGGTCATAGGGCATATGTGCTCACTAGAGAGACAGTGAGAGGGAAAGTGAAAAATTACCCCCTTGGGGGATAACCTTGCTGTAATCTGTAATCGCTTCTCTTCTATTCTCCTGGGATCTGGGGCATGCTCATATATATGCTTAGCGTGATTTTCAAGCCTGGGACTCGAACTGTAGTTGGCCACGTGGGAGTCTAGCTCCTTAACCACCATGCCACCTGCTGGCCCCATGACTAACATTTTAATGAATATACTTTGTTCTTATTATGTCCTTTGTTTTTCTGTTAAAAAGGTTTTCATTGGGGCTGAATGGTGGTGCTGTGGTAAAATGTGACCCACATAGAAGATTCTGGAGGCCTCCTTGAGTGTGCCGAGCACAAGTGTGTCTGTGACCCAGGGATGGCTGAAGCTAGGAGTAGATCATGGTGTCAGGACTCTGTGGAGGGTGTTGTAGTTCTTGTTCCTGGAGGAAATAGATAAAGTGAACTTTAAAAAAGGTTTTTGATTATACAGAGTAAAGAGAACATAACATAAAAAGATTAATAACCATATGACCCATCACCATATTTACTAATTGTTAACATTTAATCATTTTATGTCATGTACCAGTTGAAGCCCTCTTTATAACCATTCCCAGTTCCACCCCTCTCCTACTAACAGGTAATTTTTTTCTGACGCTGGCTTGCATTCCCACCATCTTTTATTTTAGTGTTTCATTTCTTATTAAATATTTTAATAACTTGGATAATCCAGTGTCCTGTCAGTATCCTTCATCAACGTTCTTTTTTTTTTTTTTTTTTTTTTTAATATGGAACGCTTCATGAATTTGCGTGTCATCCTTGCACAGGAGCCACGCTAGTCTCCTCTGTATATTTCCAGTTTAGTATATGTGCTGCCAAAATGAGCACCATCAACATTCTTTTTTATATTATAGTTTTTTCCAAGATTCTTGCAGGTTGATACATATAATTTATTATACCATTTTACTTTTAAAAATCATTTATCCTGGGACCAGCAGATTGTGTAATGGTTACATTGTTGAACTCCCATGTAGTCAACCTCAGTTCAAATTCTGGACTCAGCAGCTTAAAACTTGCCCGGCGCGTGTGTGTGCATGCCCAAAATACCAAGAGGAGAGTAGAAGAGAGGGAATTGCAGTGTGGCCATCCCGTCAGAGGGATGATTTTTCACTTTCTGTCCTTCTGTTTCTCTCTCTTTCCAGTGAGTGCATGTGTCATATAGCAAAGTCTCTCTTAAGAAATAATTTATACTTTTATAGCTTAAAATTTAAGCTACACTATGTACCTTTATAGTGAAAAAATCCAGTTTTTCTCCCCAGAGGCATCAGCATTATTACTTGTGTATCTTTCTAGAAATACTCTGTGCATATATGAGCCAGGAAGTATATACGTACTTCCACATCTCACCCTTGTGTACATACTGTTTATTCGTTGCTTGCTTTATTTTTTAGAATTTTTTTTCCTTAACCATAGGGAGTGTGTGCTCATCAGAGAGGGAAAGTGAGAAATCACCGTCCAGGGGAATGGTCACACCACAGTCCTTCCTCTCCCATTCTTCTCCTGGGATTTTTGGGCATGCATGTACTCACACCTGGTGTGACTTTTAAGTCACCAGGTCCAAGACTTGAACTATGGAATCTGCCATAGGGGATCTAGTGCTTTATCCACCATACACTTACTTGCTCCTACCCATTGCTTTCTTTGTGGATATTCAGCTATTTCTAATGTTTTGCTGTTGCAGAATGCTATAATGACTCTTCTTTACCTCTCTCCTTGTACAAACATGTGAGTATTTATTGGAGTAGATACCCAGAGCTAGAGTGCTTAGTGGCACGCTACAAATAAAGCCTTTACACCTTTGTTAGGCCTCATTCTCTATAAAGTGGTTTGTTCCAGACAGCAACATTGGGTGAGAGTTCCCATTGTTCTTTATCTCTGCCTGTTCTTGGATATTGATAAAATGTTCCATTTTTTGCAGCTTACTGAGTGTTCAATTTCATTATAGTTTCAGTAACTACTACTTAGATTACAACTGTATATCTTTCCTGTGTTTATCGTTCATCTGGATTTCCTCTGCAAATACCTTATTCATATTCTTGACCCATTTCCTGTGTGTTACTTGCCTTTTTTTATTACTTTGTTAGAATTCTGTCAACATTCTTTCTTTTTTAAAATTTTATTATAATTGTAATTTGACCAGAGAGAGAGAGGGAGGAAAAGTGAGAAAGCAAACTGCCGGGTCTGAGATTCGAACCACAGTGAGAGTCCAGTACCTTAACCACCATGCCGCCTGTTAACCGTTCTGTCCACATTCTTGAAACTAGTGCTTTATTCATTCTTTTAGTTTGCGATTATCTTTATTTTTGGAAATTTTTTAAAATTAAATTTTCTCGTGAGCAGGAAAGACAGATAACACCTCCAACAGGGTCTTGATACCATGATTTACCCTCAGCTTTAACTAGCCTTGGATCATGGGTGTTCATGTGCCTAGCATGTTCAGGGAAGTCTCTGGACATGAACCCAGAACTTTCCCATGTGAGTCACAGCCTTGCAGACTGTCACCTTTACTACTCTGCTACCATTTGGCCACAGTGGTATTCTGTGTTATTTGTTATGTCTCTTAGTCACTCATTTTTTACTGGATTTTTGGGTCTTGGAAATGGTTTCCTTTAAATTAATTTTTTTAAGAGATCTTTGTTATAGGGTGTGTGTGCTTGTTGGAGAGACAGAAATAGAAAGACAGAAAGCAAGAAATCACCTCCTGGGGAGATGGCCACACTAGATTCCCTTCTCCATTATCCTCTCAGGATCTTAAGTATGCATGCACACGCACCTGATATGTGTCAGCCTGGTGGGTCTGGGACTCAAAACGTAGTTGGCCACTTGGGAGCCCAACATCTTAACCACTATTGCACCTGTTGGCCTCTTAATTTTTAAAGTCTTATTACTACTACGCATTTCAGTAACTGGTGACTGAAATTTATATGCCATGTTCTGTTTTATTTTTTCTAGTGGGTCAACAACCTGGAGGTTGACAGCAGGTATGCTTCATGGCCTTCTAGTCTACAAGAGTTGCTGCGGCCCACTTTTCCTGGTGTTATCCGGCAGATCAGGAAGAATTTGCACAACATGGTGAGTGAGATTTCTCTTCATGACCTACACTTTAATTCTGTTTCTCCTTACCCTCTCCCCTATCTTTTCATCAAATGTAGAATGCCCCTTCTCTCCTTTACTCACTGCTCCTCACCCCTGCCACCACCAGGAATGCTCCATGTTCAAACTAGAAGGACTTTGCAATGTGTCCGTCGTCGTGGGGCTGTGAGATGTGACAGCAGCATTAATCTCCGTCAGTGTGAGGAAAGGCTCTTCTCATTAACATGAAGGTTTAGAATAGCAGTTTAGGTTTTTCCTCTGTATTTTATTTATTTATTTTATTTTAAGACTTTTTTAGAGCAGTTTTAGTTTCACACTGTAGTGTTAACTTTTTAGGTAGTTCTTTCTATTCAGAAGGTACATGTTGCTGCTGGTTTTTTTTTTTAATTTTTTTTTAATATCCTCATCTCTAAAAGTTCATGGTTCAATTTTATTCCTTAAATAGGTTTTTTTTTTTTAAGAGGTTTTTGATATAGGGCGCATGTGCTCGCCAGACAGACAGACTGAAACAGACAGAAAGCGAGAAATCACCCCCCACGGGGAATGGCCACGCCACAATCCCTTCTCCTCCTTTCTCCTCTAACTCCTGGCCACTCCCTTAAATAGTTGTTGTTTTGTTTTTTTTTAAATAATTTTCTGTTGGGTCGTTGAAAAAGTCATGACATGTTTTTGCATAGAAAACCATAGAACACATCATGACTTTGCCTTTTTTTTTTTGAGAGGTTTTTGCATTGGGTGCATGTGCTCACCAGAAATACAGAGACAGAGAGACAGAAAGCTAGAAATCATCCCACCCTCCCAGGAGGATGGCTATGCCGCAATCCCTTCTCCATTTTCCTCTCGGATCTTGGGCGTGCATGCACATGAGCCTGGCATGAGTTGAAGCCACTGGGTTCGGGACTCAAACCACAGTCGACTATGTGGGCGTCCAGCAACAGCCATTATGCGAACTGCTGGTTCCATACATCATGACTTTCTGATGACCCAACATTTATCACTTCTTATTCCATTGCTTTAGAAAGATAGAGGAAGAGGTTCTTAGATCTCTTTTTTCACTCTCATTTCTTTTTTTTTTTTTGGAGAGGTTTTTGCTATAGGGCGCGTGTGCTCGCCAGACGAGGCGC